ACTCACCGACCTTGCCCTTCGCCGTGCCACTCACTTCTTTGCAATTTGCCCCGATGAAACGTATGACTTCCTTTCCCCCAAGGAAACCGCTTACTCGCTAGATAAACGAGCCGGTTTACTGATTTATTAACGCGCTTTGCCCGTTGACAGTTGATCGTGACCTTCGATCGAAATCAATTCAATATCTAGTCTTCCAAAGCCAGCGAAACCTTTTTTTTTTTTCTTTTCTTTCTCAATCGTCCCAGATATTACACCGCATTCTCCCCGTATCATGCAGCTACTGAATTAATAATCGTCCCCTTTGATCCGTCGGCCACGATAACGCTCGATGAAACGATAACTCGAGTCAATTCGTGACAAACGACACCCCCGTTACCGTTATTATCATCTTGTCATTTTTCTTCACTCGCGTTGTCAACAAAAAGAAAAAAGAAAAAAAAAACACTAATTTTGTCGATATAGACGAAAACTACCCGACATTGACGATTGTCGATAGAAAAGAAAGGACACGTGTGAAATATTAGGGATACCCGTTCCCCCTCCCAAAGTTAATAAACATTGCCATCTAGTGATAATAATTTAACTTATTCTAACATAACCTATATTCTAGTCAAATATATATATATTGACATCTAGTGTGCTTATTGTTAAATTACGCTACAGATTAAAACTGTATTAACTTTTAAATAAAAATTTTGTACAGTATCAATGAATCTATCCCACTTTATAAGCACCCCCTGATACTTTTTCGAAAACTCAAAAAGTTCGTGTCATTTAAGATATCGACGATCGTTGCTCACGAAATCACGATTTCTTTATTCACGGTCTATTTGCTTCGTGTCTTCGATTAATTTGTACCAACGATTTCCTGTCGTTTCAAAGTTATGGCTCGACCTACATACATTGTTGCGCGGAACGCTCAACGTGCAGATCTGCATGATAAAATTCGGTCACGTAAACACGACGTTTCATCGCCGCCCACGGTTACGATTGTGTGCTCGGTAGATTACGAGGCGATTCGCGACAGGTGTTTTCTCCTGTGTTTCATTGATTTCGCCTACGAGACAGATTAGTGAATATTCATCGGCTCGCATCGATCGTCTGTTTCCTTCGTTTCTCACGCGCAGAACCGGTAAAAGGATTACGTCAGCTGAAACAGGATTTTGAAGGGTTGGGGGGGAGGTTGAACTTGGATAGAGAAAAATGTGTCAGAGAGAGAATATCTAAACACAGTAGTCGCCATTTAAGCGTCCGTTGCTATCCCCTTCTATCCAATTCTTGGAAATGGAACTATCCCCCCCCACTCTATCTTAGCATGAAGCTGCATGAAACATGACACTTGAACAACAAACGAGAGTTATATCGATACCGATCGTTCATTTTCGTGAGTAGTTGAAATATTTCAATCGAATTGAAGTACTAATAGTTGAATATTTCCTTAATACATTAATAATTATACTGAATTACATTAAACAATAAGAATAAATAATGGTAGGAATATTATACAGAAAAAAAAATAATGAAAAGAGTAAAAATTGTAATAATCTATTATAGATTTTGCAAATTTCTGCTTCTGTTGGAATAATTTTTTGTGGATAATGTAACGATCTATCAATTAGTGAGGGCACTACTATGATACCGATAAGCTCATTCCCTCTCTTTCCTTCGGTACAGAATTACATCTCCCATTTAAGCGTCCGCTTTTGATCCCGATTATCGGACGCTTAAGTGTGGACTGTTGTAACATGTAGTATGATGCTAAGTTCCGGGCGAGTACTCACGAGTATTCGCGAATATCAAAAGGCAGTTAACGGAGTTGATAGGCGAATTTTTCGTCGAAGCGGAGAGGGGAGCGAAGAGGTCGAAGGAAAATGCGAAGCCGCACGGTTCCACCGAGAGAGAGCCTCGTTGTCCTGCCTTGGTTACACGTTCCGTTATTTCGAGTTCCGTGTGGTGCACTGTTTCGAACTGCTGCGCGTAATTACGATCGCCAATTAAGCGAAACCGAAGCGCACGTACATACGCTGAGATACGTATCGCGCATATAACTCTAGCACGTAGAACCCTTTCGTTCGTTTCGTGCTCGTTTCCTAGTCGTTCTAGTTTTTTTTTTTCTTTCTTTCTTTCTAGAAGTATAGTACGTATTGAAAATTGGCAGGAGAGCACGGCCAAAGACGTCGGTCCCTTCCGTCACTCTGAACCAAACTGGTTGAAACGAATTTCAATTTGTTAAAAATAGAACTCGAGGCTGGGAGATCGATGCACGAGCGTTTCGCCGATTTGGCTTGTTTCCTTCCTCGGAGAAAAGGACGCGACGGGAGGGAACGTAGCTTGCAATCTTCGTTCGACCGATAGCCACGATTAATTCACGTGGTAAAGTCGGCGAATGCCAGAGAAAAACACAGTGATACACCGATTCTCGGACGTCTCGAGAATCTCTTTCTTCCTCCGCAGCAACGCGTTCCTTTCGACCTTTACCTACTTAATGTACGGTTACACGCACGCGCTCGCTGACCTTCTTCGCACTCCCGTTTAATTTCGTTCGCTGATGACGAGATCGACAGTCAGCCAGCCAGCCAGCCAGCCAGCTAGCTCTGCGCGCGGTGGTAGCCCGCAATGTCAAGAACAGGGGAGACTTTCGTCATGAATTCCAGCTGCCGATTAACGCATTTCGACCGGTTCGAGGCGACACGTGACGTTCTCCATGGCTTTGCTTTGACTATACAGATCGTACCGATTTCTGCGTCGAGTCCCTTTCGATAGTTGTACGAGAGACAGTGCAGCGAGACGCACGTCTCTGACACCTAGCATGTAGCGTGTAACAAAATCTTATTGTTAGTTGTATGCACGCATGTCGAAACAATAAGACTATAGGTACGTACTCTAGGCCATCGGGAATATATCTGCCGAGAAACCCTGACAAATTTACTCGGTATTTCACATCACGAGGCGCGTGTAACGTAAACGAAATAATACATTTCTAATGAAATAATTATAGGTGGTGTATCGTGGGGTGAGATTACATCACGAGGCACGTGTAATATAAATGAAATAATAGATTTATAATAGAAAATAATTTATAAAGTAATCGCATGTATATAAGGTAAGATTAATCAAAGGCTTAACGAATAAATGATAATAATATACCCTTGGCGCAATAATAATAATATATATAGACTGATTAATTAAGACGCGTTCTTAATAACTAATGATAGTGTATTCTTGGCGCGATAATAATATATCCTCCGTATACCGAATCACACTGTACGAGACACAGAACGACGAAGTACCTTATACGGAAGCCCCCAACTCCTTTTTTCGGCGCTTTCCCCCGAACACGCGGGGGACACGTGTTGGGGAAAGTTAAGTTTTTCCAGGGGTGTTGCCATATTGGCCGAAGATTAAGTCCTACTCCGACGTCTCCGGTTTAGGTTAGGTTTATTGAATCTGGCTGCGAGGCTTAGGCCAGTGGTACGCATTCTCGATGTAGAAAATAAACGTGGACAATTTGTATTAATAATGTCATGTAATATTAGTAATATCATACAATTAATATTTGATAATTATATGTAAAGAATATATATAATTATACAATTATATATTACATATATAATTATACAATTATGTATTACATATATAATTATACAATTATGTATTACATATATAATTATACAATTATGTATTATAATTATACAATTGTGTATTTTATATATATAATTATACAATTAT